CACACATATGTATATCAACATGTTTGCATTCATGCATTTAGCAGCCCCTGCTCAAGTAGCAGGTTTTCAGGAGAACACCGACATATTTGTCACTTTATTTCTTTAAGTCGCTTAAAGTTTTTGCTTATGACTTTTTCTGTATACAAACTATACTGATTTATTCCACGTCATCTTTAATAACTCAAGATTAATTCCGATTAGATAAATGTAATTGGCTGTGCACTGTGTGTTTCCCTAACATGGCACATAGCGTGCTTTGGCAGGAACACTGCCTCCCCCAGAAAGGATTTTTATCAAGGCTTGCTTGCTGACTTCTGTCAAGTAGATTTTTATCCAAAGTGCTATTTTCTCTAATATAAGCTGCAGAAACTGTCCCTATCCACCCCCACCGGTTTGTCCTGAAATGGCTCCCTCTTCTTCATCTCCATTCATGGCGCAGAGCCCTTAAATGACTTCCTAGAGAAGCTTTTACCACACAGTCTCTGGTTGTGATGCCTCCTTAAACGTATACATGGGTTATGTTAACGTTTTGTCCACCTGGGCTCATATGGTCAGAGGGCAACTTTAACTCAGATAACTGGTTGATCCTCTCAGTAACAGCCGGTGAACTTGTAGTAACTCCTCCTTCTGTGAAGCTCCTACAGCAAAGGCACCATTTGTGCTGCCCCTCGTATGTTTCCAGAAAGTACACACAAGACTTATGGTAAGACCAAGCCCCCTGAAACGAAACGCCAGGCGCTATAGTCAGTTATTAAATATAAGGCTTGCAAGTGTTAAAACCAAGAGGGGAAATAGTTCAACAATGTCAGAACAGCTTGTTCTGGTTGCACAAGTATCTCCTGTCATCAGACACAATAATGGATACTTACAATATATTAAAATACCCAGATGAAGTGTGATACCAGACAGTGTTTTTGGTGTCTATAAAATGTTGGCATTCAAATATTTTTATTGCAAAAACTGTCATTATATCCTTCCCCAGCTGTTTCCCTTATATCTGGGGCTCAAGCTTTTGCAGGATCACATTCTATTTCTTTTTGGCAGCACTGAATCATTATGTGATTCTGGCTCGAACAGCCCTTGCTTTTTTTTGTGTCTGGTATTTGAACCTAATTCTTGGACTGGGGCATCATGGGAAAGGCACAGCCCATGACTCATAAGGAAAAGCACAATACACGTTGGAAATGGCTTACCCTGCCAAACATAACTCCACATACTTTTCAAATGTGTCATAGTGGTGTGGAGGAAGTTGGGCACCATGTTGGGTGCTTTTAGTTCTGCTCTCTACAAAATAGATGTGGTTTTGGCAGTATCGTCAGACTCATCAAAAATCTGTGTGTTTGCATAATAAACAGCTAATATCTTGTTTTTGGGAATACAGCCAGTGTTTACAGGTACGTGCCTCATTTCATTAAATATCAAGACAACATTAACATGCCATGTTGGTTATGACTTCAGCAACTGCCCAATATTGTCACATGCAGACTAAAGAGGGTTACTATGAAGTGTTTGCCACACACTTGATGTGTTTTGGATAATGGAGTAGTTTTTGGTATTGTCCTTATATAGCTGAAGCAGCTCAAAGGGCAAATAACACAAAAGCATTTCTCACTTATATTTCTTGGTAACTAACCATGCAGACGGTTTGTGTTACTAGAAAGTAGTTCCAACTGTTGACAGACACGGAGACACTGATTCTGGAGAAAGATATCACTGTTGAATTCTGAAGAGGTGATTTCCCAAGCAGGAGCTCTACAGGAGATTTCTTTCATCTTCACTGTTTTTTGGGATGGAAGCTGAAATGGAATGTCTCATAAAACCACAGTTATCTGTAAAGCTGGACGTTAGTGAGGTTTGAGGAAATAGTAGCTTTTGTGCATTTGAAATACTATTTTCTGCAGCGATTTCTCAATAAACGAAACTGAAACTACACCCACAGATTTGTCTTGAAATATAAACTCCTGCTTATCTGACACTGTATTCCTCTGTCAGCTCAAGATAACGGGAAAGAACAAGTCTCTGGTTTCCTCTGAAACAGCAGAGACGTTACTGGTTGATGTCGGGCGGAAACCACATAACACACAATAACTGCACATTTTCCTTTTATTGTTTGAATGTTACATTTTGAGTGTCTCTTTTTACCCTTCCGGAAGCAAAACCTGTCAAAACACCTCATATTTCACTATAAAAATGGGGAGAATAAACGACCCTTCATTCCCATGTGGTTTTTACAGACAGTCGCATTACTAGGGATTTCCAAGGGGGCTCTGGTGGTTTGACCGCTGTCTCTTGGCAGACAACCTTGACTAATACGTCACTAATTTAATTTCCTCAATAAAACTCCCGGCTCAGTTACCCTTCAGACCAAAAGCAACGATAACAGAGATAGATTGAGTGAGATGTCTCTTTTATTTCTAACTTCTTGACATTATGAAGAAGTACATTAGTCCGATTGTTCCATTCAAATATTCTTGGAAGCGCGTCATTTATCCAACCTTGTTTTTCCTCTGCCTGTGTAGGAAGGGCGGCGGTGTAATTCTCCAAAGATAAACAGGCAGGAACTTTTGGATAAGGAATACGTAGGCAGGGCCACGAAGCCTGTTGCCTAGTCCTGTGAAGGCCATGCAACTGGATACATTACTGATAACACCAAGCATGCATGGGAAGTGCAGTGCAGTCGATAAACAGACAAACAGGATGTTGTGTATCTCATTTTGTATCGTCCCTTCTGACCTGACCTGATCTACTCTCAATGTTTAATAGATAATACATCCAGAGACTCCAGATTAAAATAGAACTGCTGTCCAATAGTGACGTGTCGGTCGCGAACACCCTTTTAAGTGAACGACGGGAGCCGGCTCGCGCCCGCGAACGAGCCATTTTTTGTTTTTGTTTTGTTAAGTAATACAAGACAGAATGATATGATCTCCGCGCTACAGCTGCTGCATGCAGTGACATGTAATATCCAAGGATTAGAGACTGTTGGATGCTGCTGTTTTGAGCATTGCAATATATTTATTTGTATTATGTTATTTATTTATGATTATCCTGAGGCTCAGCAAAGATTTGATGTCAGCTGTTGCTGTCTTTTTTTCTTTAGTTAATACTGAAATAGAGCCCTGCTGTTTTGTCAGGGCCTTTTCTTTAAATATAATTTTTAAATGTCGATACAGTAGCCCCTTTTTTTAAATGTCTATGCTTAAGTTTTTATAGGTGTTGCTATCTGCTTTGTGTAGCGTGGTTCTACAAGCAAGTCAGTGCATGCATGGGGTGGTATCAGAGAGTTAGGGTCTGTAAATGCAATGAAAACATTTGGCCACAGCAAATCATTTATATTAAACATGTCATTTTTACTTTTGAATACTTCAGTACAAAGGATGTATTGAATAATTTAAGTGATATATGTGTACACATATAAATCATTCATTAGTCAAAACAGGGCTACATTTGATTTAATTATAAAAGGTATAATATGTGGTAAACTGAAGAGCCGAAAGAGCCGGCTCTTCTTGGTGGGTCGAGCCAAATGATCTGGCTCACCAAGAAGAGCCGGAATTCCCATCACTACTGTCCAATGCAATCCACAAACAATGTTTTCATTATTCGTCTATGGTAGCAGGAGCGTTGGTTTTAACAGTGCTACTTTGTTGACCATAGTTTGTGCTGAATATACTTCTGAGCCTTGAGAGATGTATGTAGTTTGGGGTTTGAAAGATATAGAGGATTTGATGCACGGGAAGTTACAAATCTCTTCAAAATGCTGTTTGCAGCCGTGGCATCAGAATTATACCCTTAGACTAAAATGACAATTTTCTTTCCTGTAGAAGTCTATACAAATATTTATCTTCTCCCACAAGTCTTCTTTTTTGGGACTAAAAGAGGTATCGTGCTAACACACTCAAAGAAATGGGTAAGAGCTTATTTGAGCCTCCATTGCAGACACTGTGGTTCTTCAACCGCCACTTTCAAACTTGGGGTCCGACCTCAATTTCCTCAACAATTATCTAAATGAGTGTTAACTTGGAAAAGACTTCCCTGTCTTCAAGGGTGTTAAAAGCCTCCCAATTATTCACTTCCTTCATATTCTAAGTGTCAAAACACGGGGTAATTGAAACCTTGACTTCCAAAATGCTATATGCAGCATCTATATTGGGGAAAAATGTAATTACTGGTTCATTGTTCAATATGTTGTTTTTATCCTAGGTGCTATCATTTCATTTTGTCAGGAACTAGGCCTCCTTACTCGTGTATCATACATTGTTTGCCAATCATTATTTTGTAAACAGTGTGCTCATAGTTTCCAAAGGTTAGATACTTTTCAAAACCACTACACACCTCTTGATTCCCTTTTTTCCCGACCCACTGCGAGCTGACACGAATTTCCTCATGCCCAGAGAGATGCCAGATTGTCAGGTTCCGGCATCAGTGATGCTGGTGGAAGCATCCAGTGTGTTGTTGTGTTTAGTAATGGCTTACTCAGCTGTTTAGACCAGCACATCCAATGTCCAGCAGGCTCTTCACCCTTTATTCAGCAGCACAGCAAGAGAATGAAAGGTTTTAATAATGATTTGATCTGATACTCAGAACATGTTTAACTCTTAAACTGATTTCAATATCTTTGTTTTGATGCTATAAAATACAAAAGGAACAAGACATGCAGAATACCTCTTCCTAAGGCCAAAAGCAACTTGCCTTTTCCCCCCTTTTCCTGTTCTGAAATATGGGCCTTGGTTTACTTCACTTTGTACAGTTTTGTTTTGCGAGCCATAAACATTACTCACTCATTATACCAAACACACATCTTATCAGTCATGAGTCTTTAAGCCAAGTCAAACTCCCAACATCTGTCTGATTGCACTAGGGACAATATTATAATGGGTGGGGACACAAAAATGATGCCGTCTGTGTTTGGGAGGTTCTGTGAATTACAAACAATCTTTTTGACGAAATACATTTCTTTGAACTTAAAACAATCCCTCTCCTTCTCTCTCCCTCTCTAGGTGATTACTGTCAAATAAACGTGTGCAGTAATGGTGGAACCTGTGTGATCGGGGCAGGAGCTCCGTTCATCTGCATCTGCCATGATGGCTTCTCTGGAGACACCTGCAATGAGACTGAGACTGGTAAGCCAATTCTCTGATGTAAAACCACCAACGGGTCAAATTGACCCGCTATTGATTTTCAAGGTACAATGTTCTTTTATTTATCATACAGAACAGTGAGTTTTGATCGCACAGGAATTAAACTTATACCAATAGAATCTGTGGACTCTCAGCTTTTCATAGGATATAGTTTGTGCAGATAGCATGAAGTATAACATATCGCTACCAGTGCTGATTTAAACGCTTGGTGTTCGACTTGTGTTTTGTTTAGTACAAATCTATCTATCTATCTATCTATCTATCTATCTATCTATCTATCTATCTATCTATCTATCTATCTATCTATCTATCTATCTATCTATCTCTCTATCTATCTATCTCTTAAGTTAAATGTTTCTCCTCTCCTTCCTCTAATGTGACTTTATTTCGTCCAATAGGGCCCTGCCACCCCAACCCGTGCAAGAATGATGGCACCTGCGAGTTGACGGGCCAAACCCGCCGCGGGGACGTCTTCAGCGAGTACGTCTGCCAGTGCCCGCCAGGCTTTGACGGAGTCCACTGCCAGACCAGTGAGTCTATGCTCCCTCTTCAACAGTTTCATCAGTTATATAACACCTATTCCACAGTTATCAATATGTGGTTGAATTTGTTTGAGAAACTATGTGTAACAGTCTAATTCTCATGTAATTCAAAATCAATTCCACTTGGAAGACTTGGATTTTTAATCAATGGACATTTTTTTTTATTTGCAAGTATTTTTGTTGTGACCAGATTAATAGTGAATTTACATTTTGGTAGGCCATTTTCCGAAATAAGGTCCCATGGAGGTCCCCCGGAAAGGGAGGGACTTCGCCTCTCTAAGCATGGAAAAACTGACTATAGGCGCGTTCACACCGGAGTACTTTTCCCGTTTAGTTCCGTTAGTACCCCTTATGTCGCGTTCACACCAAAAAGAGTACTTGGCAGAGGTGGGACCAAGTCATTGTTTTGCAAGTCCGAGTCAGGTCTCAAGTCTTTGCGCTCAAGTCCGAGTCAGGTCTCAAGTCTTTGCGCTCAAGTCCGAGTCAAGTCTCAAGTCAGGATGTTCAAGTCAAGTCCAAGTCCTAAACTTTGTAAACGATTATTCCTACACTCTGGTACTTTTACTCAAGTACAAGATCTGAACTTCTCCCACCTCTGACAATAAATCTTGAGTGGTTGCCAAAAAAAAAACCTGCTCTGAAGGTTAGTTTCATTTTACAAATCTTGCACTCAGCTTTGCTTTCTCCAATATCATTGAAATGCAGCCAGATGCTGCTTATTTTTTAGGTTTTCGCTAATTTCTTGACTTTTTCCGACGCGCTTGCATTTAAATCCAGCTCCCCGTCTCCCTGTTGCTCTGTAGCTGGCCTGTACCACTACACCTGCTATCTTTGGAGCATCTGCCCCCCACCCTTCTTTCACATAATGGTATGATCCTAGTGTGTCCTCGCATATGATTGGCCGCATGGTGGCTCAGGAAAATAAAGTCCCGCCCCTGCCTGCATGGATTCACAGCAAGAGTTGGAGCGGCTGAAGATTCTGCTCTCCCCGACGGGAGTCTGCTCTTCTAGCGGCATCTTGCGATCGGCGTGTTGGAGACCTCTGAATTAAATTATCTAGTCACCTCAAGTCAGAAGGCTCAAGGTCAAGTCCAGAGTCATTGGTGTCCAAGTCGAGTCGCAAGTGTTTTGTGATTTTGTCAAGTCGAGTCCAAAGTCATGAATCGAGTCTGACTCGAGTCCAAGTCATGTGACTCGAGTCCACACATTTTTAGTGCCTGCTGAGAGGTGGTACTCTCCTGGGGGAAAAAAGTGCCCCAGTTCTGATTGGCTGGGCGAATTGCAAACCACGCCCCGTAAAACTCTGAAATGTTTTGTAGAGCCGCCATTTTATTATCCTCGCATTAGCATTATTAGCATTAGCATTCACCCAGTGCACAAACGCAGAGAGACTAACTTATGGCAACACAAAATAAAACATGGGAGCGGTGGAGATGAGGAGGTGTCGGCGTTCTGGCGATTTACTCGGAAGGCTTCAGTAGAAGCTGCTGGGACTCCCAGCAGCTTCTACTGAAGCCAGTCCCCAACTCCATGGACTTCCGGCCGGGGACTTCGTGTGGCAGTATACGCCGTGAAGTTGTTTGTGGTGTGAACGCGATCGGCTCTTAGTTGCATAGGGGAACTAAGTGCTGGGAACTAAGTACGGCAAAGTACTTGGTGTGAACGCGGCTATTGAATGGATATGACAAAGAATCTCTTAACCTGTCAAGCCCCGAGCCTGTTTTTCAGGCCTCAGGCTCGAAAATGACAGTCCCAGAACAAATGACTATAACTTCACTTCTAAAAGGGGTAAATGAATAATCTTTTTTTCTCAAAGCAATGATAAACCTGTGAGTTGGATGTAGAAAAGTCAGAATCAATATAGATGTTTATAATTTAAAGTAAATTCAGATTGAACATAGTAAAAAAATGTAAATTATAGTTTCCGTTAGGGCTGCTCAATTAATCGTATTTTAATCGCAATTACGATTTTGGCTTGCAATGATTATGAAAACAACATAATCAAAATAAAACGATTATATGTGTGTGTGTATATATATATATATAAATATATATATTTTCTTTTTTTTTTCTTCAGTTGAATTATACTTAAAGTTCAGGGTCTGTTAACTGTTAAAAACATACTGTTCACATTTATTTTTTCAATAAATGGATGTTTTCAAAGTAAATGGAAAATCGTTTTTAATAAACATAATATCAATTATTGACCCAAATAATCGAGATTATGATTTTTGCCATATTCGAGCAGCCCTAGTTTCCGTCCAAAAAAAACCCCATTACTTATACTACTACTTATACGAAATCTTAACAGTTTAAAACAACATTTCAAGATCAGTGGGCATATTTGAGATGGCATTTCACAAAAAAAATCACATCTTAGGGCTATTTTATTTTAACATCTCTCTCATAAAGACTGCTGATATGCATTCCTATGCATGTAATTGGCAAGTCCAGTTCGGCCCCAGCTAATCTGTCTTACCTGGCACACTAACATGGAGACAGCTGCTGTTTGCCGGGGCCACCAGACGGACAGATGTCGTCCTTATGGGAGCTTCATTCACACGTCACTCAGACCTGGTTGGTTCACTCAGGGTCAGCCCGAGAGAGGGAAGCAACGGTGGGAACATGTGCTGCCTGCAGTCATGCACACAGAGACAGATGGCTACTGTTTGCGTGAGGAGGTGGCAGGAAAACAGTGGCCAATTGTGCACAAACAAGTTGTTTAGCAGGACTCACTTGAGACTTTTAGGAAGAACCCGAGTGTTTGTTTCTGATTGTTCACGTATGCCTTTTTATCCTAGGTGTCGAAGGGGCAGAGTTAAGTTCGAGAAAAGGTAACGGAGCGCTAAAAAGACTTGAGGAGAGAATGATTTGTGTTTGTTTTTGTGCTGTGGTCTTTAATCCGTCTTGAATCCAGGTGCTCTCTGTTCTCTTGGCTGCATTTCAAACATACACAAAACATATACACACACAGATAGAGAAAGCATTCAGCACTATCTCTCCTTAAGTCAAGGCCAGCAGAAAATACGTGTTATCAGTCCGCACACAGACGGGAAGGAAGTCGTCCTTTCTCAGACAAAGATGTAACTCCCTGCTGGCTCATCAGTGAAACTATACATATGCTTACTGAGCCAATTAGGTTGTTTCCAAGTTATCAACCATTTTAATTTAGAATTCTCCAGCCCGTATTTACGCTCCAAACATTCTAATCTGTTGGTGTTTTCTTTAACCCCAAAGAACCACAAATCACAGCTCATCAAAATCCATATATTCACAAGTCCTTTGGCAGGTTCTGTCGGCTTTGCTGCCAGAATACGAGCCCTCTGCAGAGCAAGCATTTAACTAATTAGATAATGCTTCAGAGATAATGATGAGGAGAATTTATTTGACCGTGTTGGTTTTTGAGAGCCTGAGGACTGCTGGGTCAGGGAGTCGCCCCTCCATTCACAGCTACTGATGACAGTGTTGTGACATTTTAAGTGCTCCCTAATTGTGTGTGTGTGTGTGTGTGTGTGTGTGTGTGTGTGTGTGTGTGTGTGTGTGTGTGTGTGTGTGTGTGTGTGGTGTGTGTGTGTGTGTGTGTGGTGTGTGTGTGTGTGTGTGTGTGTGTGTGTGGTGTGTGTGTGTGTGTGTGTGTGTGTGTGTGTGTGTGTGTGTGTGTGTGTGTGTGTGTGTGTGTGTGTGTGTGTGTGTGTGTGTGTGTGTTGTGTGTGTGTGTGTGTGTGTGTGTGTGTGTGTGTGTGTTGTGTGTGTGTGTGTGTGTGTGGTTGTGTGTGTGTGTGTTGTGTGTGTGTGTGTGTGTGTGTGTGTGTGTGTGTGTGTGTGTGTGTGTGTGTGTGTGTGTGTGTGTGTGTGTGTGTGTGTGTGGTGTGTGTGTGTGTCGCGCCTGTGGAGGCGTTGTGTCGTCGTACCCCCTTTCTCTGGCATCCTTTCCCCATACTCACCTTTACCAATGCCTCTGTTCCTTATGTCTCTCCAATTTTCTCAGTTTTCAAATGTGAAGGTGGTATGGAAGCCTGTGATTGGGAGGATAAACTCCACAAACCACTGCATCTATAAATATATAAATGTTGTAAAGATATGGAAGATGGACTTGGGAATAGAATAAAATAGCACTCCTCTCCTGCAAGGCCTGCTGTCACTTATGGGAAAAAAGAAAATGTTTTTTATCAATATGTTTTTCTTTGACGAATAATCTTCTGCCCAAAGGATTAAAATCTTTCTGATTCAAGGGAGCAAAAAAATCTCGACTGGAAAAAGCTTAATCACGTGTTGGCTGCACATCCCACATGAAGAACCACACACAGCTCATGATCTCATATACACACTGTTTAGCACACACACACACACACACACACACACACACACACACACACACACACACACACACACACACAGCTCTTCTCTTGTGCCAGTCGAGCCAACAGAAAGTGGCGGTCCATGCTGAGCGCTCGCAACGTCAGCGCTGCTTCTGTTGCCGGGCGGAAAACGTGGAGGCGGAACGGTGAATTAAGTCTGCCCTCCTGACAATGTCACACTCACTACTCAGGTCTGACTGCAGCACTTCTGACTGTACTGTCAAATTGGCCTAAAAGCCTTTATGGGCTGCTGAGAGAGAAGAGTGTGTATGGAGACGGAAGGAGAGAAAGGGCGATGTCAATTGCTGTTCACTTTACTTCTCGCCAAAGCAAATAGATAAGATAGAAGCAGAGAGAGGAGTCTTTCTGTAGTTTCGGTCTGTAAATCCTTGACTTTCACAACAGATTAAGGCACTAATTTGCTTCTTTCAAGTTGCCAAATGGGTTGTGTATTAATGTTCTGCTCGTTCAGTTGTTTTGGGAGAGTCTTTGGCTCCTCCCAAGATGTGGCAGTGTGGGCAGACTGGGCTCAATGCCCCCTAAGGAGTACAGGGTGTGTGTTTTAATGTGTATTTGCATGTGTGCTAGTGCTGTCTGGCATGCGTGCACTGGTTAGTTTGTCTGCATTAA